GTGAACCTCCCCGTGGACAGCCTCTGTTCGGGTCGAGGGCAAGATCCACCCTGCACATAGCTACATTACGATCCTGATGCACGCGACACACCAACATGTACCACTATTCAATCCCTCCCATGGGATACCAACGATATGATTATACAACCTCAGCATCAACCTCACCCTCAAGCTCGCCTCCTCCTCATCCGGAATACACCTATTACATACCACCTCAATGGACATCACCTACGACATCACCCAAGGCGAAGAAAGGACACTCACGACATGCCAGCTACAACCCTTCATATGGACCTGGGGGATGGCACTCTCCAGCTGGATATCCTTCGGCAGCCCCCTACAAAACCCGGCCAGACTACGCGTCGCCACCGGTTCACCAGGACTATGTGAGTAATTTCGACCGCGTCAGAGAGAAGCCTCGACGCTACTCCACGTCCGCTCCCCGTGGCGGTGGCAACAACCCCGACCCAAGGCGTCACGCGTCCGTGCAATCGCAGAACCAGCGTATCTACGTTGATACGTCTGACGAAGCAGATGATTCGCCTACATTTTCATACATCAAGCCGCGAACCGGCCCAAGACAAGACAAATACGCCAAGTTCAAAGCTAACCAGCACTTTTTCACAAATCAGGGGCCCGACTTTGTCGATGCACATGACTCACAGAAGACACGCCCTCGTCGGTCATCACAGTCTAAACCGACTTCAGCGAAACCGACAAAAGCCGCGCCACCACCACGAGAGGCAACACCTGCTGATGCGGTCAAATATCGCATACCGGCCGGCTATTCGCTGAAGAACTGGGATCCCTCTGAGTCACCAGTCTTATTACTTGGAAGCGTCTTTGACGCTAACTCGCTCGGCAAATGGATTTATGACTGGACTGTCTATCGCAACGGCTCGGACACACCGATCTCAGAGGTTGCAGGCGATCTCTGGTTGCTGCTCATCAAGCTGTCCCACAAGATGAAGCGAGCCGACGAATGCCTGCCTCGCGTCAGATCCTTCGACAATCAGGAACTTCTTGAGGATTTCCTCGAGAGCGGAGATAGGTTATGGGCACGCTTCAAGAAGCTCCTTAAGATCTGCGAGGACTATATGTGGAAGGCGGCAAAGAGGGAGGGAGCCAAGGGCTCAGTGAAGATGGGAAAGAACAGCGGCATCGAGTTCGTGGATTCAATCTTCGGACGAGACAGGCAGCTGGAAGAGACAGAGAGCCTGATGCAAGGCATCAGGCTATGGAACATGCGTTTCGACGCGAATTGCGAGAGCATTTTGAAGCGACCATCGGCGGCCTAGAACACGAAAGGCCTGCCTGTTTTGGACTTATCATTACGCTTGCTTGGGAGGGTGATTCATCTATATTTCTACCGCGGTTTTGCAGCACTTCTGCGAAGATACCCAACCTCGTTCCTTTACGAGGTCTTTTACCGCAGCGTCGCTTGGATTAATTGTACCACTACAAGCATTTGGGTCGGTCACTCTCTAGCATCATTGGGCGCGCTGGACATTTACATTTTGGTTTTCCTCGAGTCACTTTAGCACATGGCGTTTTTGGTTAGATAGACTTGAGTGACACTCAGGCTTTGGAAAAAATTGGATGACTGAACATTGGAGGACTATTGTATTCACATAATTCGTATACCCAATTTACGTTCTTGCCCATACAATCTCTCTACTCCCATTCCTTCTGGCAAACGCAATCTCTCCCCCCATACCTACTCTCAGCCTTGTTGGACAACTTGACTCGTATCAATACGATACCAATCTCTTTGGTTCAATACCCACTACACCCTCTTGTCAGCGCCATGTGCTCATTCCGTCCTGAAACTCAATCCCATCGTTCCCTCATCTGACCACCCACCACCCCTACAGCCGCCGTGCCCCACTCAACATCCCAAGTCCAAACACGATCAGCCTCAATCCCCTGCCCTACAAAATCTAGATACTTTGCAGCTAACATATTCAATGCAACCCCATGCATAATATCGAACCCGCCAATTCGCCAATCTTCCCCCTTAAAGCACATGGATGTTGATCCTCCGTCTCAGCCGGTTTGCGATCCAACCGAATTTGGATGAAAGGGCGGGTGAAAACTCTATTAGCAGGTCAAAGGAAAGATATGCATGCCATATGTGCCTCGCATGGAGGGCGAGTTCTTGCGACGGCGCCCAGGGGGTTAGGGTTTAGGTGGCCAATGGGAGGGGGCTTAAGCGCTGGGCTGAGGTGGGGTGCAGTGCAGTGGTGCGCCTGAGAGATGCAATGCGTGAGACGGCGGAGGCAGGTTGCTATTTAGGGAGTTGGAGTGTGAGATGGGCCGAGGGATGTCGGTGATTTTCTGAATAGGGAGGGAGTTGATGATACCCTTTGTCAATTGCTCCTGTCAATCTCGGATGGATGTGTGGTGTGATGCCTGCGATCCCGATCCCGATCCTCATCCCACTTCCACCTCCTTGCCCATGACCATGACCAGCCACCATCACTATCAACAAATGACTCTACATACATTATCACTGTCCACATCACTATCACCTCTAGTCTAGAAGGCCATATCAAATAATGAGCGCCGTGAAAAGTACATGGGCTTAGCTAGCGCTATCTTTTTCTCCCACACCTGTTTTCTTGGAGTGGGCGGTTGGTGCTTGTGATGAGACAAAGCCCGGGCGCGTACTGCATAATATTATCACTCTGACTCATATTTCAGCATGTTGCTTGCAGCGTGCATGATTTAGGCAGGCACACAGCCTTGTCAGCTTGAATCCTTGGGAAGCGGGGGTCGTTTCAGGGAAATGTTGGAGTTTGACATGATTGTTTAGGGCCGTGAGCGCGGCTTGGAAGCGCTGGGTTTGGGTGCTGGATGCAAGGCTGAGTTCTATTCTTTGCGTAAGGCATGGTGTTTATGTGCACTACCATTTGGGGATAGTGTTCACCGAAGGAGGAGCAAGCTGTCGTGTATGTCTGACCAATGCACTTCAAGACCTGGAGACGGCTCACGTGTATTTGCGAGCTGATGAGCCAAATATCTTGCACCGTGACCTGCAATGCTTAGCATGTCCTAGAGAAGGGCAAGAATGGTACAAGAGGATATTTCTTAGATACATCGCTTGAACAAAATATGAACATCATTACTGAAGTTTCGAATCAAATAACCTCATACACATCCTTCTTGGGAGGTGATATGGCAACGAGAATTTGTTCACGGAAACTTCCACAACGCTTTTTGGCAAGTCACTTTGTCATTCAACAAGGATGAGCTTAATTTGAACTACACTGGTGAAGCCGAGTCTTCGCCAGAAATCCTTTTTCACCTATCTCTGATTGCTAGCCATGCCCGCCCCTCTGATATATGGAAGTCGATGAAACAATATTTTCTTGTCTATCAGGATGTATCTTCAGTGCTCCATTGGAAATCAGACTCCAGTCGCATCAGGACAATGCCACCAATGCTACGGGTCGATTACAGTATTTCTAGATGGCTAGCCCAAGCGGATTCTACACCTCGTCTTTGGGGGCATTAGTCACAAAGTCAAGGAATGCTTTGCCTGCCATTGCCTTGCCTGATATTGTGCCGATCCACTCAAATCTATCTCCATGCTGTTCGACCAACGTAAGGAAAATCATATCAGAACGGTAGATCGATGCAAATGTGTCATTAAGATCGACCAAGCTTGGAAAAAAAAAAGGAGAAAGGTCCGATTAGAATCAACCAATCACATGACTGAGTTTGCAGTCTCTGGAAGAATTCCTCTCCTTTGAGGGGCCGCTTGGACCATATTGACAGTACATGTCTTCTGTCTGCGTGGTGGTCGTCTTCGCAGTCTAACACAAAGTCGGCTGTACGGCCGGTACCGGGCGTTAGATAATGGGTCAGCTGGATATTCATCATACTTACTTCAAATTCTAGATAAGGAAAATGGCACTAGGCGTCTGGATGCGTCTCTTTTGACTTGTTCGATCAGAAATAATTCCAATTCTCTAGACTGCGTTGAATCCTTCGCTTCTTCGGGAATAGCTTCATATTTCTCTACCTTCGGTAATGATGCAACGACGGCCCAACCTGCTCGAAAGAACGAGGAGTACTCTTTTCGCCGGCGGGGTGGTAATTTGTTGTGAATTGTATGATATTTCCAACATAAGTTGACTAGGAAAGCAAACGGTGTTCGAGCCATGTTAGCGTAGCTGATAGATAGAGCCTGATAATGATGGAAAAAGGGGATTGGCTCTCATAATGCTTCAGATTTCCCCACGAAAGCGTTGAGGAAGTCCGAATCATAGGATAATGCACATGCGATAAATCTCTCCACATGACTCCTCATCTTGGAGGTCACGTTTCCTTTGCTCTTGGATCCAGAGAGAGAGGGTCTGTATCTAAAAGCGGAACTCCAATTGACCGCATACCAGTAATCCCTCACTTTCTGTTATCTCAAGTATGAGTACTAATGTCCCCTTACGTGATATCAGCCTTGCAAAACCGCGCCTCAAGTGGCTCGAACTTGTCTCAACGATATCCCATAATGTTTTCTTTCGACTCATTTTGTATTATTCAGACGAGAAACCTGGCTTGAGTACTAACGCGACAGAGTTGTCTTTCAAAGGTGTTTGAGCAAACATGTGCACATCCACAGTTCAAGCTCTAAGCTGCAGCTTCTGTTCGCTCGACGTCCGCTGCTCCTGGCATCCTGAAAACTCGACTCGAATCTGAGGTCTGAGCAATAAGCATCGTCTTTTTGCACTCGAACTTCTTTTCTAAAATACCCCGAATCGATGTACTACTTTCACCAACCCCAATTGCATCGCCAACGAGCGTCATACACCCAGATTGCGCTTCCCCAACAACGTCCCTTGTCCCCCATTCCCTCAAACGCTTCGTGCATGAGTCTATCTCGAAGATTTACGTCTCTGAAGAGCCTTTGCTTCTAGGGGAGAGATTCACCAGACGGAGGCTTCAATTTGAACATGGATCGTGATAATAGTGCAATACGACCAAAAATCACAAAAATCGCTCAGATAGCGTAGTGGTAGCACATCAGATATCTAAAGTGTACTCAAATTCGCCTGTAAGGGTGCTGAGCTGCCGTTTTGGTTTGTGGGACATCTATCTGCGCTGCATCTTGAAGGCCTCAGTTCGATTCTGAGTCTGAGAAAACTCTCGTTATCTTTTTGCTTTTGGACGTCCAGACCCTGAGACAGAATCGACGGGCAAGCATCCATGATAAACGCATATGCGTTACTACGTTGAGGCATGACAGTTTCCCAAATGAAGGGTCATCACCCCACAAAACGTCTAATCATCGCAAAAGCATGCCAGAATTTACGCGAAGCCTAATAAGCAGCTCAGCTATTACTATTCACATCATACATCCGCCACTCTTCGAACTCCCCACTTCACTGACGCCCAATCTTACTCTCTTCTTCTCGCCGCTTCCGATTCCGCCTATGAGATTCGACCACGCTTCTACCATCCATTCGTACCACACCTTTCTGTTGTCCGTCGCGCGGAAGATAGACACCGTGAGTGTAGAAGCGTCAGGAGCGTAAAGCGGATTCTGTCATTATCAATGAGCGCCATCAAGGTAGTCAAGGAGGAGGCATACCTTTAAGGGGAAATAAATCGGAAACCAACTCATCATGCCAGGGCTCTTGTCCTCCATATTAAGCGGATTAGTGCTAAGCTCTACTCCAGGGTAGAGCACAGCCTCGAAGTAACCAGCCAGACCGTGACATACAGCTCGATCCCGTAGGTTGAATGTAAGACGGGCATGGCGGGTGTTGTGAAGATTGGTCGAAGAAGTGGGAAGAGCGTTCATGGGACCATGGGAGAAAGACCAGGCTTCGACTACATTCGGAACAGGAGTAGGCACTGATTCTGAGGTAGTTGAACGAGAAGTAGATGGTCGTGAGGTGGTGGAAAGATAGTCGATAGCGTGAAGCATCACCACATATGGGGTGTGAGGTGCTTCCGGATCGTTCAGAGCGCGAGCAGCAATGTCAGCATGTAGCTTTGGTGCTGCGATAGGCGTGAGGTATGCACTATAAGAGCAGGGAATGGAGATGCCGTGAGTAGGGTTTAGAAGTGGGAGGATGCCGTCGAGGCACTCTGGCGAGAGTTCATTGTCGGCAAAGGAGCCGAGGAGTTCGGAGACGAGGATGTCGATGGGACCGTGAGTTGGAAGTTGGGGCTCTGGGGGAGGTGCTGCTTCGGACGTCATATTGGCATTCGAGGTATCGTCTTCGTTACGAGGAGGCGGCCAGTGTCCAGTGTAGCCTGATGGCTGAGGAACATTTTCTTGCAGTGGCCCTTTCCAAGACCGCATGTCCGATTTAACCAGGTTCACGCGATTGGCCCAAGTCTCTTCATTATGCCGTTGCAATAGTACGAAAGCGTTGGGATTTTTCTCCACGGCCCACATCTCGATTGGTATACCAGTAGCGTCGCTTGCTTGCAAAGCTCTGGTCACAAGTGGTCCGCGACCGGCGCCTACGACAGCAACCACGATGCGGCCATTGGGACCCGAGGCCCGTTTGCCTTGGTCCCGCCAGTCGATAAGTGCTTGTTGAATAGCTGTTAGGTACTGGTCATACTTGACTGGATCTTTCTCGAAAACTTCGTAGGTAATGCTCTCCAGATTGTCAGTCAGTGGTTGCAAAGGCGCCTGGAGATAGTCCTGATAGCCGGCACCAAAACGCTCTAGGATCGTCCTAGGAGGCTGATGGCTTTGAAGGTATCTTAGGTAGTTGAGATGAGGTGTAGGATCGTTTACGGTTTTGGTGGATTTCTTGCTACCCTTTCGCTCGAGTTGAGAAGCTTCAGCAGAGGTGGGAGATGGAGGATCGGCTGCTTCACTTGGGGACAAGACGCCATCCGCTGCAGATACAATGGTTTCGGGGTTCTCGAATCCAGGTATCGGACCAACATCATAGAGTAAAAGCCACGGAGGATTCCGAATGCCGCCCATGTACCGGGTAAGGAGTGCCTGGTGGCTGTGGGTGAAGGCTGGGTAACCAGAGGGATTCTTGAAGAACGTCTTACTACTGATAGACAAGAGGCGCAGCGGCTCGGAGTGCCATCTCGAGCTCACACTGAGAGGTGGGAGATGTGAAGGGATTGAGAGAGCTACAAGACGAACAATTAGCCAGTCTGCCCACACTGACAATGAAAATTTCCATAGGAGACAATAGGGAAGTACCTCAAGAACACTGCCCCTAATTACCATCATGCTTTAGCGTCTCCATCCCGTCATTGTTTCAGAAGGTGCTTTGCAAAGAGATGGCACAAGGGGAAACTTGCAACGAAAATGTGACTCAATTTCTTACCTACGGAAAGCCTATTGTTGTATTTACATAACGTCCTTATGACATTCCATGCGTCCCAAGTGCCAAAGAAGTCAAATCTCGCAGGCTTCTTGCGCGAAAAGATGACTGTTCCCCCATCTTCGTTCTCCTCCAACTCCTCCATGGAATTCTTTTGCAAGCCACTCTCCGATAAGCCCAGGTGTTTTCCTCTTGCTCTTTCAGCAAGACTTCCGACAACCTCGTCACTGTCTTGTTCGGGATTGTCCATCATTGGTAGTGATATAGACATCTGGATATAATGTCCGATATTCAATGTCTCCTGGACAGCATACGCATATTGCGTGACACCTTCTCCATGTAGCTTACCGTGATGCAACTTTGGACTGGGCAATATGATATTTCCAATCCCACAGAAGGCGGCGTATGCCACTTCCAGCTCGAGAACCTGACGAGATATATTGTAAACCGCAGGGTCAGGCGAACAAAGGTCAATCCATGGGCTGACCACCGCCAGCAGTTGGGATATGGTCTCGCCAGGGGCCAATGGTGTGTCGAACGGCGACAGGGAAGGAATGACAGGCGCAGGTATGCTTCTCGTAGGTTGCAATTCCAGCTCGTTGAGGTGGTTAGATAGCAGCGTCAACACACGGCTATGGAAATGAGGAGTAGTAATGGGAGTCGTTAGCATATCATACTAAGAAGTAATTAGCCTGGGCGCTGTCGCTGTTGCGGCACAGAGCCACTCACATTACAGTCTTGAGCTTGACGAAGCAGCTCGGGAGTGACACGTGTACGATCACTCTCATGCTGACCGATGTAAAATGTAGGCATGTATTCATCAGGCGAGGACGCAAACTCCATGTTACTGATTGAGACGAGTAATAGTTAGGCGAATCAAGCGTGAATCATCCGTGACAACCTCGCATCATTACACTACTAAAGGCGCCCAAAGTGACAAGAACAGGCAGTACAAAGAATGCATAAACAAGAGGATTGCAAGGAGTGAGGGGAGAAAGTTGTCGTGCCTTGCGCTGTCGGCAATCTTATTGGCTCTTGCCCTGCATGAAGACTAATCGGGACTAGCCGATATAAAATCTAGCCGTACACGAAACTGAAGGCTCGTCACACCAAATCTACAAACACTACCAGCCTTCACCGCCCACACGCAAAAATGGATCGCCGACCAAATTCCCAGGAAAATGGTCGCTTCAAGCGCCGAAAGACCGCAGATATGGAAACTAGATCGGATCCTCTCCTCACAGACATGAGGGAGGCATCACCAGTATCATCAGATGATGACGGGGGCGTTAAGCTTGAGGGTTACTACAATAAGCCTGCTGCTCCCAAGCAAGAAAAAGAGAATGCCGACGTTGAATCAAAACTATTGCAGAGCCATGACGACTCTGGGTCGAGCAGCAAAAAGCGCCAGAGGAAAGAGGAAGAACACGACTCAAAACCAAATCCCTACTTGGTACACCAGTATGAGAAACCCACAAAGAAGGAGAGTGATCCCAAATCGAATCCATACCTGGCTCATATGTACGAAGATGAAGAAGTCGAAGACAAAGGCTATAATGGCTACAGCCACGGCTACGGAAAGCCTATGAACAGAACGAACGGAGTGTCTGACGCTTCGACTCTGGCAAGGTTCCCTAGGCACAAAACGACCGCGGCGATGGCTAAGAAGGCTGAGGATGGTCCTTATAATCCGTTCAGCGGGAAGCCGTTGTCTTCACAGTATGTCAATATTCTCAGGACGAGGCGGAATTTGCCAGTGCACCAGCAAAGGTGAGTCCATGTCGGATCGTGCTTAGAAGTGTACCCTTTAACACTCTACACAGGGACGAGTTCCTACGAATGTATCAGAAGTCCCAGTTCTTAGTCTTCGTCGGAGAGACTGGTTCAGGAAAGACTACCCAAATACCTCAATTTATCCTATTCGATGACCAACCGCATATACAACGCAAGCTAGTCGCCTGCACGCAGCCTCGCCGAGTAGCAGCCATGTCGGTCGCGCAACGTGTCGCGAATGAGATGGACGTTAACTTGGGAGACGAGGTGGGATACAGCATTCGATTCGAGGACGTCACGAGCCAGAAGACTATACTCAAATACATGACTGATGGTATGCTGCTTCGGGAAGCCATGCACGATAATAACTTGCAGCGATACAGCACAATCATTCTGGATGAAGCTCACGAACGTACACTCGCCACAGATACTCTAATGGGGCTGCTGAAAGAGATCGCACAGCGGAGACCGGACTTGAAAGTTGTGATCATGTCTGCGACTCTGGATGCGCAAAAATTCCAGAGCTACTTCAACGATGCACCTTTACTAGCTGTACCCGGTCGCACGCATCCTGTGCAAATTTTCTACACACCAGAGCCCGAGAGGGACTACGTCGAGGCGTCGTTGAGGACGGTGTTACAAATACATGCGAGCGAGCCTGAAGGAGACATCCTGTTGTTCCTTACTGGAGAGGAGGAAATTGAAGACGCATGCCGGAAGATCAACCTTGAAGCAGATGAGCTGGTCAGGGAGGCTGATGCTGGTCCACTGAAAGTCTACCCCCTGTACGGAACACTGCCTCCCAATCAGCAGCAACGCATCTTCGACCCTGCACCCCCACCGAGAAGGCCAGGGGGCGCCCCTGGAAGAAAATGCATTGTTTCGACCAATATTGCGGAAACGTCACTCACTATTGACGGCATTGTCTACGTCGTTGATCCAGGTTTCAGCAAGCAAAAGGTCTACAACGCTCGGATCCGTGTCGAGTCTTTACTTGTATCTCCCATCTCAAAAGCCTCAGCGCAACAGCGCGCCGGTCGAGCTGGTCGGACACGGCCTG